CTACTCTGGTCGTAATAATTTGAATTAATGATAATACTGACATTCAGCCCATTATGTTAGATGTTAAGAATATGCCAGCTCATTGCTCTAATGTAGAAGAAGAAGATAGAAAGCCCTACTATTATGATATCTTATAGTATATTAAAGATCAGTAATACCCAGTTCAAGCAATAAAAAATGATAAAAGAGTCATCCGAAGATTGGTTATGAGTTTTTTCTTGGATGGGGGTGTTCTGTACAAAAAAACCATGATCAAGTATTACTAAAATGCGTAAGTAAGACTGAAGCAAGAAAAATCATTGAAGAGGTACATGATGGAATATGTGAGGCACATACCAGTGGATACATGATGATAAGATAGATCATGAGAGCAAGACTAGTTGACAATGGAGACTGATTGCATTAATTATGCTCGTAAGTGCCATAAATGCTAGATATATGCTGATAAGATCTATGCCCTGCCATTTACTTTACATGTTATGGTACCATCTTAGCCATTCTCAATATGGGACATAGATGTCATCAGTCCTATCACGCCAAAGGCTTTTAATGGGCATAGATTTATTTTTGTGATGATAGATTACTTCACAAAATAGGTGGAGGTAGCATCATATGCAAATGTAACACGATCTGTGATTTGTAAGTTCATAAAGGGAAAGATTATCTGTAGATATGGACTTTCGAAAAGAATTATTTTAGATAATGTCAAGAATCTAAATAGTAAGATGATGCAAGAAATATGTGCTCAATACAAGATCAAGCATCATAACTCGGTATCATACCATCCGAAAATGAATGGAGCAGTGAAGGCAGCCAATAAGAACATAAAAAGAATTCTTGAAAAGATGACCGAGACTTATAAAGATTGACATGAGAAGTTAGATTGGAAGAAGTTGAATGGATTCAAGAACGCTATGAATAGTTAAATTTCATAGAAAAAAAGAGATTAACTGTATTATGCCATGGTCAGCCATATCAAAAAAGAATGATGAGGGCTCATGACAAAAAGATTTGACCTCATTGCTTTCGAGAAAGAGAATTGATCTTGAAGAGAATCCTCCCGACCCAGCACAGTAATAGAGAAAAAGAGACTCTGAATTGAGAAGGACCATATGTGATAAACAGGTTTTCTCGGTTGGAGTGCTGATACTAACTAAAATAGATGAAAATGATTTATCTCATCCTATAAATTTTGATGCTGTGAAGAAGTATTATGTTTGAAAAAAAAAAGAGAAAAAATGAAATGAAAGAAAAAAATGAAAAAAAGAAAAAAAAAGTGAATGAAAAAGGAGGACTCAAGGCGAAAATCCTAAAATGGCGATTTGAGTCATAAGAGGTTTATCTAAGTTGAAAAGCTAAAAAGGCAGCTTAGATAAAGAGAATACAACATCAAATTTAAAAATTTGTTGGCATGGAGACTAGCAAATTCGAAGGAGCTCCAAGTTGTTAAGTGCATTAGATGGTTCAATTTTCAGAAAAATCTTGAAATGTGTTATCATAATTGTCCGATTGTTCATTTTTGGGCTTTGTTTCCGCATACTTATCCTTGTAATTCTTTTTTGGCCAAAATTTGCCAACATTTTGCTAATAAAATATATTCTATTTCACTCTTTGTGTACCTCTTCTGTTAATTGTTTCCCAACCATTCTTATTCTTTTCTTTTAATACCCTACAATGGAAAAAATGTGCAAATGCATTCTTACTTTTTGAGTTTGAAATAATGATTGATAAATGAATAATGGCATGAAAAATTTTTACATTACATTGAAGAAGTCAAGAGTGATAAAGGCAGAATGAAGATGTTTAGTTCCTAATAAGGACATTGAATTTGGAAAGAGATTTCTTACAGGAAAAATGTGAGAATGAGTGGAAGAGATGATTGAGAGCTACAATAGCTCGATCTTAGAAAAGCAGCGTAATTTGGTCTTTGAAGAATCAAGGTTTGGGGCCCAAGAAAAGAGCTTGAGAAACTTGAGTACCATATTTGAATAAAAATTAATTAGCCAACATTTGCATAGCATGCATTAAATTTCACATGCATTGCATAGCATATACTACATTCAAAAAAATATAGTGCATAAATTCAAGAAGCAGGGGTATTCCAACATCCCACATAGAGAAGATAGATGTGAAGACATTTTCAAATTTGAGAAAAAGCTTGTCAGGTAAGTTTCTAATCCTTGAAATAGGATGTCTCGTGGTATTAGGGTTGATTTGTAAGACCTTTGGGCATAATCTTCTGAAATTCCTTCAAACACGATTTTCAACTCCTTTGGATATGATTGTCAAGAAACAATTTATTTTTCGAAGTTGTAATGCCTCTGTTTAGAGGAATAATCTATTTTCTGAAGTTGTTGAGCCTCTGCTTAGAGGAGCTTTATTTATTTTTTCAAAGTCGTTGAGCCCTTGCTCTCTGTTTAGAGGAGCTTTATTTATTTTTCTAAAATCATTGAGCCTCTATTTAGAGGAGCTTTGTTTATTTTTCTAAAATCGTTGAGCCTCTGATTAAAGAAGCCTTTTATTTTTTAAAAGTCGTTAAGCCTTTGTTTATAGGAGCTTTGTTTACTTTTCAAAAGTCGTTGAGCCTCTGTTTAGAGGAGCAATTTATTTTTTGAAGTTGTAATGCCTCTGTTTAGAGGAGCAATCTATTTTTTGAAGTCGTTGAGCCTCTGTTTAGAGGAGTTTTATTTATTTTTCTGAAATTGTTGAGCCTCTATTTAGAGGAGCTTTATTTAATTTTTCAAAGTCGTTAAGCCTCTGCTTAGAGGAGCTTTATTTATTTTTCTAAAATTGTTGACCTCTGTTTAGAAGAGCTTTGTTTATTTTTCTGAAATTGCTCAGCCTCTGATTAGAGGAGCTTTGTTTATATTTTTCAAAGTTGTTGAGCCTTTGCTTAAAGGAGCTTTGATCAAATTTTAACAAGAAAAAAAATGAAAAAAGAAAAGGCGAGTGGAGTCTTGAATGGGTGTCTACGTCTTTACGCAATTTCTGTTTCACAAAAAATATGCAAAGAGGGGCAGCTGTAGACACCTAATTTGGTCCATGCCTGGATCAATTGGGCCTAGTCCAAATAGGTAGGGCCATTTTTATTTTTTATTTTTTTTCTTAAAAATTTTATTATTTATTAATATACATATATATATTTATTAACATATATTATATATATTTTTCTTATTTATTTTTATTACTATTTATCTATTATTATTATTATTTATCTATTATTATTATTATTTATCTATTATATTATTTTAATTTTTATTTTTCTTTTTTCTTCTTATTCGACTGGGATTAGGATAAAGATTTAGAGTTCTACCGTAAATTTGGGATTCAATCAAAGTCCAAATTAGATTCAAGGATTGAATCCCAATCCAAGAGGGAACTGAGATTGATCAGAAATTTTTCTGATCAATCCTTATAAATAGGTGCTAGAATAGAACAGAAAAGGGACACACAGAGAAGAAACAGAAGCTAAAAAAGGGTTTTGGTGCGTTAGAACAACTTTAGGAATCGGTGAGAAGTTTTTTTGAATTTTAGGCAATTTTTTTTTGGAAATTTCTAGAAAATTTCCAGATTTCAGTTGAATTTTCTGGCCAAGTTTAAATTTTTCGGTGAATTTTTTAGCACCGGTTGAATTTCGGGCCAACTACCTAGTTTTCTGGCAACTATTTTCAGAAACCGATCAACTTTTCGACGAACTTTCAACGAAAAACCCAGATTTTGATGACATTTTCCAGAATCCGATGATATTCATCCGGAGTTCTTCGTCTATTTAGAGAGAGGGAAGAGGAAAATAAGGGAAGAGAGAGAGAAAAAATGAGAGATCTACTGAAAAACAGAGGTTATAGCCTTTTATACTTGCTGAAAAATGACATCGTTTTGGCGTTACTGTTCCTAAAGGATCCGCGCGTTTTGAAATCGGACGACTCGACCCGAGCGCTGACCCGTTTGTGACCCGAGTGCTAGTCGACCCTTGGAGCCAAGCCGTTCCAAGGTTGATTTTTTTCATTTTATTTATTTATTTATTTATTATTATTATTTATTGATTAAATTAAAATTATTTAGTATTTCTTATTTTATTTTATTCTATTTTTATCTTTATTTTTATTTTTATTTTATTTATTTTCTTTAAATAAAATTTTAAAAAAATAGTTTTAAGGAAAAGTTGAAAGTATCAATTTTCCTTGAAAATAAGTCTACAAAAAAATATATTTTTAAGAAAAAATTGAAAGTATCAATTTTTCTTGACAATAAGTTTTTCTAAAAAATATTTTTGAGAAAAAGTTAAAAATATCAATTTTCCTTAAAAATAAGTTTTCTAAAAAATATTTTTGAGAACAAGTTAAAAGTATCAATTTTTCTTGAAAATAAGTTTTCTAAAAAATATTTTTTGAAAAAAAATTGAAAGTATCAATTTTTCTTGTACAAAAGCAATGAGTTTTTTTTTTGAAAAGAAAAAGATTTATACTTAAAGCTGAATCATTTTTTTTCTTTTTTTGTTTTATTTCTTTTCCTTTTTGTTTTTTTGAATTTTCTTTAATGTTAAATAATCCGACGATATAGCTTCTGTAAGTGAAACAATAGTCTCATTGTATACTTTTGAGATGAGAGAATTTTTTTAATTTTCTGCTAAAAGTATTAGAGTCAATTGAGAATAATTTCTAATAGTTAATTACTTGATAAATTTTTAAGGCTTATTAGATAACACAAAATTAAGTTGGTACCATCTTTCGATGGGCGTTGTGAGGGTGCTATAACCTTCTTTACACGTAACCGAACTCCTAAACCTTGTTCTGGTTAGTATACCTGAACTTATATTTTTAGGGACCCTTAAGCTTAGGTGTTCCTATAAAGGATAAATTCTTTAAGTGACCAATCGCACCTACATAAAAAAGATCGACTACGACTCTTTAAGTAAATATCTAACGATGTATCCTTAGATCTATACGTTATGATAATAACATTAAAAAAATTAAGAGAATTAACACATCATACCATCAAAATATTGATCACCAAATTAAGGACGAGCTCCTTTTATTTATTGATATTGATATTATTCCAGATCAACAAGGTAAATATCTCACATACATATATGATGATATATATGTACTAGCAGCAGATTTTTTTTTTATTTTAATAATTATAATAATGTGATTGATAATTGCTTTTCTTTCATAATTAATTATTAAAGTGCCTAAGCAAAGGGCCTTTGATTGTAGCAGTCGAGGTTGTTTCCGTAGCTCACTTTCAATATGTCACAATATCTCCTATAGAATCCGATGCGATCCTCAACCTGAGGGTTAGGTCCTTTGCCGCATTCGATGCCACCATTGATGATGTTGGTAATGACCCCATATCCAGGGACCCGACCGGCGGCCGTGTCTTCGGCGGATGGCTTCCACTGACCACTAATGACATCGTGACACGAAGGTTTTGGTGACTGTGGTGTCATCCAGAACCAAAGAGCTGTCTTGAAAGAAATGGTCGGGTCCCTTGCCACCGCATCGGGGTCGTTCAGCAGATCAACGTTTATTGCATTTCCTGCTGGACCATAGTTGTAGTTGCTGCCAAAGTCAAGGTCAAGGTCAAGTCAAGATATAGTAAGGATTTTCATTTTTCAACAAGCAATTTTCCCCCCATATTCCCAGCTTTTTAATCCTATCATATTTTATTATTTTAAGTGTAAAATATGTTTTTAAATTCAACGAACTTTCTATTAAAAAGATTAAACACACTATGCTTATGTTTGTGATTAGTCAATATTTATGCATGGAAAATGAAAACCAAATGAGCTATATATGCTTGTTGTTTAACAAAAATGCCTTAATAGTAATTTTCTTGGGTCACAACTCTGAATCTAGTTAATTCACTCCAAACAAGTACACTTACTATGAGATCTGGATTGGACCACGGCCAAAATATTTTTTACCCGGTGCACAAGGCCATTGTTGACTTGCAACACAGTAATCTCCAGGATTGCCTTGTTCCTGAACGAAGCAATATCCCCATGCGTATGGACCATCCGGTGCAGTTGCCCACCCACCTATACAAGAATTGTGAAGTACCCCTTTAATTATGCCGTCCATTAACTATTTGCCAACTAAATATTAATGTCTGCCAACCATTAACCACGCATGCAAGAGTAAAGTTATAGAGATAATAGAGACAATCAAGAAGTTAATTTTTTTTAATGAGAAAAATGAACCTGTAGTTTCGTGGGAAGTTTGAGCCAAGAACGCAGCAATTTCTCTTTTACGAGTATCAACGTCGCCTGTGGTTCCGAAAGCGCCAAAGGAGTTGGCAGCGGCAATGAAAGCATCGTATGTATAGAAACCATTGCCAGGGCAGTTAGCATCGTTACGATGCTTTAATATCTCATTGAACAGGTCGCGGCTGATAAGCGGACTGATATCAGCCAAGCCCCTTAATGCAGATGCCAAAATGAACAGAATCAGAGCCAAGAACCTCATTTTTTTTTCTGCTTGGCTAGCTACTGAAGTGTTTTATGCGTGGGATGTGGAGTCCCATGTGAAGGATCAGGCTGGTTTTTATAGAGTGGGTCAGGAGAGAGAGAGATCCTACCAAAACCTTATTGTTCTTAATATTCTAGAGACGATGGCGGCCTTTATCATCACAAAGTAGAAGTATGATGATTGCTTGAAAGCTTGTATACTTGACAAATATGGGAAAGGGCGAACAGGTGTCGTTCTTGGACCGTTTTCTTAGTCCAAGCTTATCTTGACATGACTTAACCAAGTTGGAATAAGTTGAAATTCCATTTTGTTAGAATTCATATGTTTCTGTCTTTGCAAGTGGCGTTGATTGCGGAGAAAATATTCAAGCTCAGCAGCCAAGAAAAAGAAAACAAATCTTATCCTTGTCTGATTACAAACTTAAGAAATAAGATGCAAAAGCCTAGATAGCTACGCAAGTACTTGAAGAAAATGAGGCAGAGCATCCATTTTGGGATATACTTGAGGCTGGCCGGATGAGTTTTAACACTAGTTCGACCGATCTCTCCCTGACGATAATCTCCAAATCCTGTTTTTAAGAATTGCAGAGCAATTTTTTTTCATATTACTGTTTAGTAGTAACCAAATTAAACATAAAAAGGGGCAAAAGTTTTTCAATTTATATATCTTCAACCATCCGATTCTTTTAGTAATTGCTTCATAAGATAAGATAAGATAAGGGACAAGTTAGAAGAAATAACTACATATACAGAATAAGATTTCTTCAACTGAGAGTTGAAACAGAGAATATCAAAATTAGTAGCGTTAATGTGTAATTGAGCCCTTGAACTATATTATTTCTTATGATTTTATACATAAAATTTATATATAAAAATTCGAACTCCAAAAGTATTAATAGTAATCAACTTAGATACTCCTATAAATTTTTAAATTAACAAATTCATCCTTAAATATATAACTTTTATTAATTTATTTAACTTTAATTTAAATCAACTAAAATTTCAAATAGAGTTATATAAAATTAAACTACTTAAAATATTTAAATTTTAATTTCAAAAGTGTTACAAGTTATTGGTTAAATAGTTTTAGTAAATATTTTTATAAAGTCTAATATAAATAATTTTTTTTATTACTAGACTTTTTTTATAATTAGACTTAAAAAGTGTTAAAAATAATTTATTAAAATACCATGAGTAATTCTTTTTATAAATTTTAATTTAAATGACTTTTTTATTAATTGACTCTTTTTTTATAAGTACAATGATTTATCACATTAAATGAAAATATAAATAAAATGAGATTAAAACTTACTGTGAATAAGAATAAACAATTATGTAGATTTTATTTATTTAATTGTTGTACAAACAATTATATATATAGTTTATATTGATAAATAAATTAATTAAAAATACTCATATTAAGTAGTTGAAGTGTATTTGTTTTCTTCTTTTTAATTTTTACCTTTCAATCTTTTGTTTTAATATATTAACTATATATGTATATTAGTGATTTTATTATTTATATGTTTTATGAGTTGATTTAATGATTGATAATATAATTAAATCTTTTTAGTCCCATGAAATAATTCTTTAATATATCATTTTTACAATTTAGTTTGACATCTATAATTAATGTCTCTTTTGTATTTTTTATCTCTAGAATTTTATAATTATTATTCTTATGAATAAAAACTAATATCAAACCAAATGCAAATCAATTACATCATCTCTACTAACAATTAACATTATGTGATTCATTGAACATTTTAATTAGACTTTTCACATATAGAATTAGATGATTCAGGAGGTTGCACAGCTGCTAATAACTCAAGATTGGCTATGTCATAAGAATTCAATCCGTTAAATTGTCATATAAAATATTCACCTTCATTGAAACAATAATTGACATAATTTTCTCTCAACTCTCATCTTAATATGCATATATATGACTAATTTATATATCAAGATTATTTAATCTTTCTCAATTGTATTAAATTTCTTGCTTTTTTTTTTGTCATCCAAGTGGTTAAATAACCTTACATGAATTATTCTAAATTAAAAATTATCAAATGAAGTAAAATTAATTGTTTTTAGTGAATTATTTTGAAGTGTGACAAAATTCATTGGAATTATTTTTTGAAAGTGTTTATGACAAAATTATATTCATTTGTGAACATTTATGTTGTTAATACTGAAAATGATATCATTATAAATTATATAGGTATTACATAGCAAGTTTATTATTTTTAGAAATGAAAATTTCTTAAGAAAACATAACAAGAACCAAGATTAGGAATGTATTTTATTTTAGTTTTTAAAATTATGTATTTTAATATTTTTATATAGTAAAAATTTATGTAAAAATTTATGTGTAATAAAATTTTTAGATAAAAAAATTAAACATTCAATTGATAGAACATAAAACTATATTCAATTGATGGAAGTATCTATGGAAGATTATTGTAAGCTGAAAAATTAGACAAAAAATTGATAGGATGTGCATAACTTTATTTTTTTCATATGACAAAAAAAGTTAGTGCTATATGTTGTTTCAATATGAAACTCTTTTATTTGGAGAAATATTGTATACTCTATTATTTTCTCTTTTATATCAGTTGAAGAATGTTCACTGTTATATCAAAATTTTTAAAGATGCCATATTAGGTAATATTTGTTCAAACAAATTGAAATTCATCAAGTTAATTATCACTTTACATTTAAAATAAAAAATTATTATAAATTATAATTTAACTAAACTTAAAAGTGATTTAAAGGCATTTATTAGTAAAATTCATTTGACAAATCTTTATTTAATTATGCATTTAGTATTTCAAGCATTTTGAATTTTGAATTTTTATAATTTTGAGTTAGATTTTAGACTTTTGATTAGCTCCCAATTAGGTTGAATCGAGTTTTATTATTTACTTTTATTCATAGTGTACTCAATTATTCACTTATACACCTGAACAAATTTAACTTAATAATTGTTACATACTTCTATTTGTTTAAAAAACTAGATTTATATCATTATAAATTTAAATAAAAAAAGTATATTCAATTACTTATAATTGTAGTTTCACTCTAGAAATAGTCTTGAAATTAATTAACTAATTCAACCATAGAGACAATAAAAATTAACCATTGAAGATGAAGGGAAAAAACCTTAAATAAGAAACTTTTAAATTGTTATGGAAGATGAATAATTAATTTTAGATTTTGATTGGGTTACTATTTCAATTCAAAATTTGTTTATATTCAATCATTTTGGGTTTTAAATAACTACTAAGTTGTTAACTTTTTAAAATCAATTGAAATCAAATCAAGTTAATTTATTTTTACAATTATATGTATATTATTTTTAATTAAATTAAAAATTAAAATGAGTAAAAATTTAATTTCTACTCTATTTTAATTTTAAATTATTTCAAGTTTGAGTTGATTAATCTATGTTATTTTAGTTATACTTTTATAATAATGGTAAGAAATTTCAAAATATAATGATAACATAACACAATAATAATTTAAATGTAAAAGTGATGGAGATTCTATTGATAATTTTAGAAAAAAAAACTTTATATCCAAGTTTTAGAGAGATTAAAGGATGTATCTTTTTTTGAGAATTTTTAAATTTATATTACAAAAATGTTAATCTAGATCAACATGTTTATAATCATTTATTTGTTAATCAAGTTATTGTTATATGAGTTGAGGAAAAAAATTCAAAACTTGCAAATGAAAGAGATCATATCATAATTCAAACTCAAGCATGAAGACAACATAGAATTAAACATTATTTGGGTTATTATGTCCCCATATAATATTCTTTACTCTTTCCAAATAAAGAAGTAAATTGCCATCAAAATATCAAAAGAGTTATTTTGAATAATAATAATAATAAGAATGACACAACAATTAAAAATATATAATCTTTTCATTTATTAGAAGAAATTTTTTATGAAAAATGTGAAATATTCTTTACATTTTTCAAATTGAGAAGTTGATTAGCATCAAAATATTAAAAAACAAAAAAAGTTATTTTGAATGATAGTAATATGAATGAAGCAATTAAAAATATACCATCTTTTCATTTAATAGAAGAAATTTTTTTTAGAGAATATGAAGGTGACTATTGTAAATTTAATATTTTAAAAAATATTATTTATTTTAATTTTTATAAATTTTATTTAGTAAATTTTTTCTTATTATTTTTATCATATATATAACAAAATTTTTACCCAAAATTGTATATTTAAAAGTATAAATATAAGGCAAAGTTTATTACTTCCATTGATGACAGAATACTTCAAAATTTTTAATCTTTTATATGTAATTGTACTTCATTAAAAAGTATGAAAATACATATATTAATAATTCAATCAAATCATCAATAAAGCTTATCTTAATATATACTACTTTACCATGAACTAAAAAATTTAAAGAATATCTTAAAAATATTGACTTAATATATATTATATATTTATTTAATTTAATTTTAATACTTGCATTAATATAAAAGTTATTATTTTAAATTATTATTATGTGTTAAATTACAGGTAGTAAATCAAAAGTATTTACTCATCCTTTTCAACCCATTTAAACTTAAACTTTTTCTTCTTTCATTCTTTACCTTACAAATTGTATCATCTAAGATATATTTTGGTTACTTTCTTTTTGGATATACACAAATTAACGATAATATAGCAACAAATAATTAATAATTTATTAATTAATTATTGAAAACTTAAATGTAATGAGTATAGTAATCATTGATAACTTGTTAGTAAATAAATGATAATTTAATAGTAAATAATTGGTAATTTTTTAGTAAATTAATAATAATATAATAATATATGCATAATACATTAATGGTTAATCAATTGTAATATAGTTATAAATGTATAATAACATAGTTCTAAATTAAGGATAATTTAACAAAAATAAATGATAACTTAATAGTTAATTATTGATAACTTAGTAATAAATCAATGATAACTTAATAGTAAATTATTAATAATTTAATAGTAAATCAATTTCAATTTAGTAGTAATTAATTAACAATAATAAATTACAAATAATTTAATAATAAATCAGTAATAAATTAGTAATAAATAATTTATAATTTAGTAATTATTCATTGAAAATGTAAAAGTAAATCAGTATAACTTAGTAATACATCATTGATAACATAAATGTTAATCAGTGATAACTTAATAATAAATCATACATAATTTAATATAAATCACGAATAACTTCATAGTGAATCATAAATAATTTAGTGATAAATTAATGATAATTTGTAATAAATAATAAAAAAATTAAGTAGCAAATTAATGATAACATAACAGTAAATTAATATGTAAAAATATAATAGTATATCATTGATAATTTAGTACTAAATTAATAACTTAGTAGTAAACCACTAATAACATAATAGTAAATTATTAATAATTAAGTCATAAATTAGTGATAATTTAGTAATAAATTAGTTAATCATTAATAAGTTTTAGTGAATCATCTTTAAATTAGTAGTAAATAAGTTATAACTTTATAATAAATTATAAATAACTTAGTAATAAATCACCAACAATTTAATAGAAATCATTCATAACTTAATGGCAAATCATTCATAAATTAGAAATAAATCATTGATAATTTAGTAATAAATATATGATAATTTAATTGTTAATCATTGATAAATTTTTTTGTACTTGAAGTTTTTAAGGATTAAACCATAGTTACTAGCAAAAACAAAGTCAAAACTTTCATTTTGGGGACTAAGATAAACTTACCATGAACCTATTTAATTAATCAAATTAGTGAAAAAATTATAAACTCGAATATAACAATAATGTTATCATATGAAAAGAAAATTATCTCATATATTATTAGTAGGTTTTTTAAATTCTATGTTTCATAATTGTAAATGTATACAACATATTAGTAAATCAATGATAAGTTAATATAAAACAAATAATAACTTAATAGTTAATCATTGATAACTTAACAATAAATTAATGATAACTTAATAGTAAATTAGTAATGACTTAATAGTAAATCAATTTTGGTTTAGTACTAGTAAATCATTAATTATTTAATAGTAAATTAGTAATAATTTAGTAATTAATCATTAAAAACTTAAAAGTAAATCAATATAATTTAGTACTAATTAATCATCAATAACTTAATAGTAAATTATGAATAATTTAATATAAATTAGTGATAACTTGATAATAAATCATGGCTAATTTAATAATAAATCTGTGATAATTTTGTAAAAATAATAAAAAAATAAGTAGTAAATCAATGATAATATAATAGTAAATGCATAATAACATAATAGTAAATTATTGACAATTTAGATGTAAATTATTGATAACTTAGTAGTAAATCACTAATAACTTAATTCAATTACAATTTAATAGTAAATTAGTTAATTATTGATAACTTTATAGTAAATCATCAATACATTAATAGTAAATAAGTTATAAATTTATAACAAATCATCAATAATTTAGTAGTAAATTAAATAATTTATAACTTAGTAGTAAATCATTTATAAAGTAACAATATATCATTGATAACTTAGTAGTAAATCATAGATAATATAATAGTAAATTAATCATAACTTAATTGTCAATCATTGAATTTTTTTTTTTATTTTTAAAGTTGTAAGGAATTGAACCTTGATTAGTAACGAAAATGAAGTTAAAAATTTCATTTTGGGAAATTAGGATAAATGTGCAACGAACTTATTCAACAAAAAAATTTAGTGAAAAAAAATTTAAATTTAAATGAAACAATAATGTTTTGTATAAAAATAAATTATCTTATATTAGAATTGAACCTGCATTTTTTTTTTACGAGAATCTATTATTAAATATATAATGACACAAATTTCATTAATGATAATTAAAAATATATTATAAGTTACCAAAAAATGAATTACTAAAATTACATTAAGAGGTTACCAAAATGTTATCAATAATTACCCAAATTATATCATTAGTTACCAAACTAATATTGAAGGTTGCAAAAATTGTATCAAAGATTATCAAAATTATATTAAAAATTATCAAAATCAAAATTATATAAAACGTTACCAAAATTTACTTATATTATCAAAATCAAAATCAAACTATTAGTGTTTATCATTATTATCATTATTATCATTGTATAAAAAATTTATGTATGAAATAAACTTATGTAAATAAAATTACATGTGTGTCACGCATGTATCAAACACTAGTAAAAAAGGTTCATGATTAAGCACTTAAAATTTGTTTTTGTCAAACATTGTGACCTACACTAATTTTGTTAATGATAAGCTGATGCCATAAAAAAATCAATAATTAATATCGTAATATATGGCACATTTCTATTTATCAGTATTCGCAAATTTTTTATAAGTATCAAATTATTAAAAATAATAAATTTAGAGATCAAATTACAGTTAACCCAAATTAATAAGATCTTATAGAAAAAAGATGGCCTTGTAGGTTCAAAGAATATAACAATAAATATCTATGCATACATATTACATAAATTATGATCATACACACATGTAAACAAGCTATTACATCAACAAATTATAATGTGAAAGTTATTAAATGATAATTAATGACATGTATTACATCAACAAATTATAATGTGAATGTTATTAAATGAAATAAACTTTTATAAATAAAAATTACTCATGTGTCATGCATGTATCAAACACTAGTAAAAAAAAGTTCATGATTAAGCACTTAAATTTTGTTTTTGTCAAACATTGTGACCTACACTAATTTTGTTAATGATAAGCTGGTGCGATAAAAAATAACCAATACTTAATATCATAATATATGGCACATTTTTATTTATCAATATTTACCAAATTAGCTTTCTGACTTACAGTGTTAGTCCATGGTGCAAAATTTTGATGGAAACAAAATTTATAAACTTAATCATAGTTTTTTATAAGTATCAAATTATTAAAAATAATAAATTCAGAGATCAAATTGCATGTTAACCTAAATTAATAAGATCCTACAGAAAAAAGATGGCCTTGTAGGTTCAAAGAATATAACAATAAATATCTATGCATACATATTACATAAATTATGATCATACACTCACGTAAACAAGCTATTACATCAACAAATTATAATGTGAAAGTTATTAAATGATAACTTAATAACATGTATTACATCAACAAATTATAATGTGAATGTTATTAAATGAAATTTAATACATATTACATAAATTATGATAATACAAGCACGTAAACTAGCTATTACATCAACAAATTATAATGTGAAAGTTATTAAATGAAATAAATTTTTATAAATAAAAATTACTCGTGTGTAATGCACGTTTCAAACATTAGTAAAAAAAAGTTCACGATTAAGCACTTAAATTTTGTTTTTGTCAAACATTGTGACCTACACTAATTTTGTTAATGATAAGTTGGAGCGATAAAAAAATAACCAGTAATTAATATCATAATATATGGCACATTTTTATTTATCAATATTTACCAAATTAGTTTTTTGACTTACAATGTTAGTCCATGTTGCAAAATTTTGATGGAAACAAAATTTGTAAACTTAATTGCTATTTTTTATAAGTATCAAATTATTAAAAATAATAAATTCAAAGATCAAATAACATGTTAACCCAAATTAATAAGATCCTACAGAAAAAAGATGGCCTTGTATGTTCAAAGAGTATAACAATAAATATCTATGCATACATATTGCATAAATTATGATCATACATGCACGTAAACTAGCTATTACATCAACAAATTATAATGTGAAAGTTATTAAATGAAATAAACTTTTATAAATAAAAATTACATGTGTGTCACGCACGTATCAAACCCTAGTAAAAAATATTCACGATTAAGCACTTAAATTTTGTTTTTGTCAAACATTGTGACCTACATTAATTTTGTTAATGATAAGCTGAAGCAATAAAAAAATAACCAATAATTAATATCATAATATGTGGCACATTTCTATTTATCAATATTTGCCAAATTAGCTTTTTGACATACAGTGCTAGTCCATGCTGCAAAATTTTGATGGAAACAAAATTTATAAACTTAATCGCAATTTTTTTTAAGTATCAAATTATTAAAAATAATAAATTCAAAGATCAAATTACATGTTAACCCAAATTAATAAGATCCTACGAAAAAAGGATGGCCTTGTAGGTTCAAAGAATATAACAATAAATATCTATACATACATATTACATAAATTATGATCATGCACACACATAAACTAGCTATTAAATCAACAAATTATAATGTGAAAGTTATTAAATGATAATTTAATTAATAACATGTACACAAGCACAGGGAAGAAATTAGATTGATTTTATTTTAGAACTTAATTTGATATAATTCATATGTTGAACATCTAAAATCATAAATGAGAAGAGGAGTACTGGACAATACTGTTTCTTCTTCTAATTCCTTTTCTTTAAGGACAAGTAATAGGAGTACTGGACGAGAAATTCCGGAGAATTAGAAACTCTTTTTATTTGATGAGAAATTTCCCACTAAATATGTATAGGATTACATTAATACTTCCCCACTAAATTGGTTATGGATCTCTTTATAGTCTTCAACTACTTTATTAATTTATTCTCGTATGGAGTTCTGGCCCGCCGATCTATGCAAAAGGCCTTTGGTTATAGCAATCCAAGTTGCTTGCGTAGCTTACACCCAATATGTCACAGTACCTACTAAAGAAACCAATCCTATCAGCCACCCTGCTATCAGGACCACGACCGCACTCAAGCCCACCGTTGATTATGTTTGTGATGACACCATAGCCAGGGAGCCGCCCTGCTGCCCTGTCTGCATCAGACGGTGTCCATTGCCCAATGATTACGTTATGGCTTGAGGGCTTGTTTCCCTGCGGGGTCATCCAGAACCATATGGCTGTCCTGAAAGATATAGTTGGGTTCGTGGCTAAAAGGTCCGGATTGTTTATGAGGTCTACTCCAATGGCATTTCCAGCTTGCCCATAGTTGTAGTTGCTGAGGAAAGTCATGACGTTGGGTCAAAAACAGTTCATTTAGATTCATCATATCAATTAACGCCAGAGAAACTTACTGAGTCAGTTGGATGGGTCCTCGTCCATAATATTGTCTACCAGGAGGACAAGGCCAGGCGCTGGAACTACAATAAGCTCCAGGGTTGCCTTGTTCCCTTATAAAACAATATCCCCATGCATACGGGCCATCTGGTGCACTTGCCCATCCTCCTGTGCTCTTAATATTAGCCTTTTCAGTGAATTTAATGTAATCTTCACAGCAATAAAATCTTCAATAAGAGCTTCCCAACTTACACTAACCTGTTGTTTCATGAGAGGTTTGACCCAAGAAAGCTGCGAGTTCCCTCTTTCGAGTTGTCAGGTCTCCGGTTGTGCCAAATCCATTAAAAGATCGAGCAGCAGCAATGAAAGCATCGTAAGTATAGAATCCATTGCTGGGACATCTTCCATCATTCCGATACTTCAACATTTGATCAAAAAGAACTGGAGTGATTATGCTGGCAACATCATTGCCGCCACTAGGGGTAGGGGTTGGGGTCGAGCCGCCACCACTACACTGGCTCTGGCAGCCAGTTCCACAATACTCAGGCGTGTTGCCACACCACCCAAATTGGCTGCAACACAGTCCATTTGCGCATAGAGCACCTCCTGCTTGTCTTCCGCACTGTTGAGCGGTGACTCCTAGCAAGAGTATTGCTAGAGTACTTAACGCCAAAAGAGCATACAACTGCATTTTTCTAGGTACTGACGGTGTGGGTTTTGGATTGAAATAGTGGGTAGTCATAGGCAATACTTTCCACGGTTTTTCTTTGACTTTTCCATTCAAAAAGGGTGGCTTCCTTCATTTTAGTGGGCCTTGGCGACGAGGTATAATAAAGTGTATAAGAAAAGATACAAAATCATATACTATAATACATGGAATTGGGTCACAAAAATTAATGTGATAAATTATATTCGTAAAAATTATCATAATTAGAAAATTGAAGATAATTTACAAACAATTGTCAGTGATCTTAACTTTGAAAATTATGTTATATATATATGTATATTATAGACATTTTCCTTTTTTGGTTTTTACTATGTTCATCTATTAATTGTTCAATGTACACTCCCAAATTTATGAATAAATTCAGTTTAGGTTCCCATGAAAATTACCATTATGCTTTGGTCAGAGAAGAACCGAACTTATCCTTTTTTGCTCAAAAAAGAACCGAACTTATCTTTAAATTATGGTCACTGGCTATAGCTAATTCCGATACTTTTCTTAGTTATAAATAATTATTAACAATAAACTAAGATCACAAGCTGGCATCCAATAATTTATATATAGACCTAAAAGTAATTACTGACATAAACAAATTAAATCCATTGAAGAAAATTTTTCTATTGGATTAAACGATTGATGAGATGATCAATTTTCTCCAACCATATCTAATTGATGTAATTGCAATAGTCTTTTTTGTATAGTGGAGATGTCATGTTGTCTTAAATTAGTTGGTTGAAGCATGTCTTATTTCATCCATATCAATGTCCAACTTTTTGATCAATTAGATTCATCATAATATTCCACAAAATAAATTGCAGGCGAATATGAATACATGTATTAGACTGATCTTTAATCTATTTCAGAATTAAAAAAAAAAGAAAAAGAAAAAAGAACTTGGGGTTTGAAATCTGTTCAATTTTAGTATTAGCCTTAGCCTGATCAATTGAGCCTAACTTGCAATTGCCTAACTCAAAATTAATTCCATTGTATCGATTGTCAAAGTAGACTACAAAAAGTTGATAAACAGAGATGGGAAAGGAAAAGAAAATATTTGCAATGGCAGCATGTATGGATCCTACATAAAAATTATTAATATTCATATATTTTCTCTGGCAGAGGAACCAAAGGACAGCAATTCTTGCCCGCATTCCCAAGCCATTGCAGGATAGTCAGCCCTTGGCTTGAATTATATTTATTTATTATATATTTTGTTCTATAATCTTCAATGTCGATCAGTTTTGACAATATAATTTCTTCCAGTTCTAATTCTCCCACAACTTCGCTTCTTACAGCATTAGATATAATTTCGGAAGAACTGGATTAATTATTGAGCCTACAGGAATGTTGATCACCAGCAACCACATTCCCTTTCTCAAAAGAAAAAACAAATTAGTATATGATATCTACAATATACAACAAAGCCATTTTTTCTGATCATTTTGCTTATCAGAATCCTGATATATCTTCTTGGAGGATGTATTCCCGGTGGACTTGGCAGCCTTCTTCTCATTACTAGCCTTTGCAAAAATCACTGTGAATCCTTCAGCTGTAGCAGGATCGTTCACGTCCCATTCCCCAAATCTTGGTAGAGGCCTCTCCTTATCACCTGATGCCGCCATGAATAATTAAACAAGATGATCTGCTTCTGAAGAAACGACAGTAATTAGATGAAAAGGTAAGTTTTTTTTATTGGAAGGGCATCCTTTTTAAAGGCAGGGAGGAAAACTCAAAGTAATCTCTGTTTTTTTTCCTATGCACTGTACTCGTAACGAACACGGGCTTGTACCAAAACATTCACATGCAACCGTGTGAAAACGGTGTTTTTTTCTCCTATAAAGCGTGCGGATTATGCGGACAGACTAAGAAATAAATTAGACGTCTCTATTTTCAAGCACTAATTTTGGAGGGCTTAATTTCTTTTTTTCCTGATAAATGAGAAGTTTTCTAATCTTAGGTGTTATCTATTACTGCTGTTTCCTGCTAAACACAACCCAAACATGACTTGTTAAAATTATCCAAAAATAAGAAGGTATAAAAATGAAAATTTAATCAGCATGAGCTCCCCATATTAGATGTCCTGTTTTTTAATCGCTGATAACGTACATGTGTATGTATACATTATAAGCGTAAGATTTAAGTGAAATAAAATTTCACAAATTATCCTTACAAAAATTTCTATAAACGCTCAGGCCTTCTTGCGAGGTGAAATTTTACCTTCTACAGGATAAACTAAGCATCCTCAAAATGTGATGCATTATAAGAAAAGAAACTTGAAAATAAATATACTAATTAAAGATAAATACATACATGTACATGTTAAGAAAATAGGGTCCAGCCCCATGTAAGTGGTTTTAGACCAAGTAAAGGCCATGAGCTTTGATCTTTCATTTTACACAGAGCCCTAGCTACTTAATAAAAAAGAGGCAGGATTGTTTTAATTGTATGTCGAAAACCAAGTAGAGAAGAAGAAAAGCCAGAAAAAGCAGAAAGAAAAAGGAGAAAGGAGAGTTGATTGAACGGAAGTCGATCCGTGGTCCAATTGAGTAGGAACCTTGTTAGGAGGTTTATGATTCAGAGTTTCACATTCTGGACGGTGAAGATCGAGTTTGAAGCTCTCTAGGAATAAATCCATGGTGTATTTGTTGAGTCACTTATTTGGTGAGATTTCTCCAATTGTTTCTCTAGTTGTTGTTTAGCTCTAGTTTTAGCTAGAGAAGAACTTTATATACCTATTATTTGATAATGAAGATTTTTCTGGTGGTCCGTGATTTTTTTCCTCTACACTGGAAGGTTTTCCATGTAAATCTTGGTGTGCTTTATTTTTCTTGCTTTTTTTTTTTGTTATTGATTGTTGTCTATTGCTTCTATATTGTTGTGATTATTGCTTCAGGCGCAACAAATGGTATCAGAGCCAACCCTAAATCGTTCGATCCACGCCAAGCACCTCGATGGAGGTAGACAGGGTGACCAGCCTCCGTGACGGACCTAAGGAGGAGTCCTGAATCCCACATCAAATATAAAAGGAAGGTCACTGGGATACAAAAGGGTTCACACCATATCTTCATTGTGAGGTGCCTTTTGTAGGACAAAATCGTGAGGTCAGAGGGCCAGAGCGGACAATACCTCATAAGGGTGTGAACCGTCGTAGTCAAGCTGATCTAAGACACCGGATGAGTGGATGCCCGGGTCCCGAAGTCGTGCGAGTTTGGAGCTTAAGTCTCAATCCGTGATAAGTGGTATCAGAGTAAGAGTTATTTTGAGACATCGATACAAAAGCAACCCATGATAGAAGTAAATTCTGTTTGAGATCATAAAGGGTGATACAGGTTTCATGATAAAATTGATAGCATCGAATTATTCAATTTGGAAGCCTATGATGGAGGATCATCTATACTGTAAAAATTTGTATGAGTCAGTATTGGCTGATTTGACTAAACCAACAGATATGAAAGATAAAAGCTGAAAGAAGCTAGGTAGAAAGAGTCTGGCTACAATTAAAAAATGAGTTGATATCAGCGTGTTCTATCATGTAGCGCAGGAGTCAGATGCTCACATTGTTAGAAAAAAATTGGCAGCATTGTATGAGGGAAAAACATGTATGAATAAAGTTACTATTATAGAGTACTTGATTGATTTTCAAGATATATTTAATCGGATGACTATTATAGAGCTTAAGATGAATGATGAAATAAAGGCGTTATTTCTTTTAGGTTCATTGCCAGACAATTGGAATATTCTAGTTGTGACTGTTCTTAATTCAACTCCTGATTATAAGGTGACATTAGAGATGGTAAAGGACAGTATGTTTAATGAAGAAGCAAGATGAAAAGATATAGACCTTGAAAATCAAGCTCTGGTCAAAAAGAACAGGGGTAAAAACATCGACAGAGGTCAGAACTCAAAAGGTCGTGGTAAGTCTAAACATAGATCCAAGTCTAGAGGTAAAGTGAAGTGTTTCTATTATGGTAAGACAGGTTATATAAAACAAAAACAAGAGTTCAGATAATGGCAATATTGCAGCAGTGAATTCAGTTACTTTGATTTGCACACATGGTGATTGTAATCATGTTAGTGATCCCGACATTGAGTGGATAGTTGACACAGGAGCGACATATCATTGTATTCCTAAAAGAGAGTTGTTTATAACTTACAAAGCATGAGACTTTGGTTGTACCAAGATGAAAAATAAGAGTGTGTCGTAGATTGTTAGGATTGGTGATATTGTTGTACAAACTAGTGCAAGCTGCATGTTGACTTTGAGGGATGTTAGACATATTTCAGATATGAAAATGAACTTGCTTGCTATTAATGTCCTTAATAAGGAGGGATATGAAAGTCGATAAAAAAATGAATAGTGAAAGCTTCTTAAAGGATCTATGATAGTTGCAAAAAAAAAACTATGCTGCACAATATATAAGACATGGATGCAATTAAACGGTAACTAGGTAAATGTCGTTGAAAATGATGCTTCAGTAAACTTGTAGCACAGGAGGCTGGCACACATTAGTGAAAAGAGGTTACAGGTTTTGGCAAGGCAGTCTCTTATTCCCTTGACCAAAGGTATGTCTTTCGATTTATGTGATTATTGTTTGTTTGGTAAGCATCATAAAGTTTCTTTTCGTAAAAGTTCTCAGAGAAAAAAAATAGATTGGAATTAATTTATTCTGATGTATGTGGTCTCATTGAGGTTGAGTCATTAGGTGATAGCAGATATTTTGTTACTTTTATTGATGATGCTTCACGTAAGACTTGGGTGTATATGTTGAAATATAAAAGTTAGGTACTACAGTATTTTAAAAAATTTCATGCCATAGTTAAAAGGATGACAAGGTTACCCTTGAAGTGTATTCAAACTGATAATGGTGGGGAATACACATCTACAAGCTTTAAAGAGTATTGTTCAAAGCATGGGATCAGGCATGAGATGACAAAACCTGAAACACCGCAGCATAATGGTATAGCTGAAAGAATGAATCACACCATTGTGAAAAAAGTCAGATGTATGTTGAGGATGATAAAATTATCAAAGCCATTCTGCGGTGAAGTAGTCAACACAGCTTGTTACTTACTTAACATGTCACCTTCAGTTCCTTTAGGCTTTGACATTCCAGAAAGAGTGTGGATAGGAAAAGATACTTCATACTCTCACTTGAAAGTTTTTGGGTGTAAAGCATTCATGTATATGCGAAAGAGCAAAAATCAAAGCTTAACAGTAAAGCCACACAATGTGTATTTGCAAGATATGGTGATGAAGAATTTGGTTACAGGGTATGGGATCTAGTGAAAAAAAAAACAGTCAGAAGTAGAGATGTGGTCTTTCATAAAAAAGAAACCATAACAGACCTTGAGAAAAATGAGAAGACTACATAAGTTACTATTGAGTGTGATGTTTCAACACCGACAGAAATTTCACAGGAAAGAGTCACAGATGGTGAAAATAAGCAAGAAACAGAACTTGGGGATATGAATAAGCTAACCACAATTGATGATGAGTCAGATGCAATTAGTTTTGAGCAGGGAGAGCAATCTTCTCTACCTGAGAGTGTTGAGCAGGGGGAGCTACCTTCAGCATCAAGTAATGTAGAGTCTCAGCCCAGGAGATTTACTAGAGAGCGCAGGCTATCTATCAGGTATTCAAGTTTAGATTTTATTTTAGTTACCAATAAAGGAGAGCCAGAAAGCTTTTAAGATGTGCAAGCTACTTCGGATAGAAAGTACTGGTTAAAAGTAATGAAAGAAGAGATGAAGTCATTATGAAAAAATGGTACTTATGATCTTGTTAAACTTTCAAAAGGGAAGAGGCTAGTAAAGAATAAATGGGTGTTCAAGTTAAAAAATGATGGTGACAAACTAGTGAGGTACAAAGCTCGATTGGTAGTAAAAGATTTTTCTCAGAAACCAAGCATCGATTTTGATGAGATTTTTGCTCTAGTTGTAAAGATGAGTTATATTCGAGTGGTACTGGGATTAGCAGCTAGTTTGAATCTTGAGCTTGAGCAACTTGATGTTAAAACTGTATTTTTGCATGGTGATTTGCAAAATGACATTTATATGAATCAATTTGAGGGTTTTGAAGTGAAAGAGAAAGAGCACTTAGTTTGCAAATTGAAAAAAAGCTTGTATGGCTTGAAACAAGCTCTGTGACAGTGGTACAAGAAGTTTGATTCTTTTATGGTGAGTCATAGCTATAAAAAAATAGTAGCAGATTCTTGTATGTATGTTAAACAATTCCCTAATGGTAACTTCATTATCCTATTATTATAAGTTGATGATATGTTGATTGTAGGATAAGATGCTAGTATGGTTTGCACGTTGAAAGAACAGTTGTCTAAGTCCTTTGATATGAAGGATTTAGGTCCAACAAAACAGATTCTTGACATGGACATTATTCGAGATAGGAGAGCTGAAAAGTTGTGGTTGTCATAAGAAAAGTATGTTGAACGAGTGCTTAGTAAATTTAACATGCAACATGCTAAATCAGTTAGCAGTCCACTTGTCAACTATTTTCATCTAAGTAAGAAATCTTGTCCAGTGTCTAAGGAAGAGCAACTAACTATGTCTAGTATTCCTTATTCTTTTGCAGTCGATTCTTTAATGTATCTTATAGTTTGTACAAGGTCTGACATTACTCATGCAGTTGGTATAGTGAGCAAATTTCTTTCTAATCCGGGGAAAGTTCACTGGGAAGAAATGAAATGGATTTTTAGATATTTGAGGGGTACCTCAAAAATGTGCTTGACTTATGGAGTTTCACAACCAGTTCTAGAAGGGTTTACTGATGCTGACATGGTAGGTGATCTTGATTGTAGGAAATCTACTTCAGGCTATTTGTTCACTTTTATAGGAAGAGCTGTATCTTGGCAATCTAAGCTGCAGAAGTGTGTTACTTTGTCAACTACAGAGGCTGAGTATATTGCAGCAATTGAAGCATGTAAAAAAATGCTTTGGATGGAACGTTTTCTTCTTGAATTGGGGTTGAATCAGAAAGAGTATGTGATATTTTATGATAGCCAGAGTGCTTTAGATTTGAGTAAGAATGCCATGTACCATGCTAGAACAAAGTATATTGATGTCAGATATCATTGGTTATGTTCAGTGATTGAAGAACTGTAGATGCTGTTGAAGAAAGTCCATACTGATAAGAATGTAGTAGATATGTTGACTAAGATACTTTCCAAGAAAAAGCTTGAGCTTTATAGCAACTTGACCGGAATGAGTTCCCTGGCCAAGGTAAGTTTCAAATGAAACTGTTATGGTGATGAATCTCTTCCTAATGGGGCTGGAGGGGGAGATTGTTAGGAAAATGGGGTCTAACCCCATGTAAGTGGTTTTGGACCAAGTAAAAGTCATGGGCCTTGATCTTTTATTTTACACAAAGCATTAGCTACTTAATAAAAAAGAGGTGGGGTTGTTTTAAGTGTGTGTCGAAAACCAAGTAGAGAAAGAAAAAAAGTCAGAAAAAGCAAAGAGAAAAAAGAGAAGCGAGAGTTGGTTGAACGAAAGTCGATCCGTGGTCCGATTGAGTTGGAATCTTGTCAGGAGGTTTATGATTCAGAGTTCTACATTCTAAACAGTGAAGATCGGGTTTAAAGCTCTCTAGAATAAATTCAAGGTGTATTTATTGAGTCACTTATTTGGTGAGATTTCTCCAATTGTTTCCCTAGTTGTTGTTTAGCTCTAGTTTTAGTTAGAGAAGAATTTTGTATACCTATTATTTGATAGTGAAGATTTTTCTAGTGGTCCGTGGTTTTTTTCCTCTACACTGGAGGGTTTTTCACGTAAATTTTGATGTGTTTTATTTTTTCTGTATTTTTTTTGTTATTGATTATTGTCTATTGTTTCTGTACTGTTGTGATTATTGCTTCAAGCACAACAGTACATGCATTACACTATTTAATTTTTTATCCAAGGTAGTGTCCTTTAATGGAATAAGGTAGGTAATTTCAAATTCTTAAATATTAGGCGTAGTTGTTGGTTTATGCAACCATTTCAATAAATTTAAGATTTAAATTTTAATAACTGTAATTTTTTTTATTATCTTTAAACTATTATCTCATTTATACTAAAAAAATTATGCAAGGAATATCCTCTTAAGATCTTTAAACCAGAGCCTTCTATACTTCTGGAATCATATACAGTAGTGCGTGGGGGGGAGTAATGACCAGTGAATTTAACCCATTTTCCGGGGGGAAAAGAAACGAGATTAACCCATCGAGGACGAACATATCCCACAAATTTTATATACATATATATAGACACACTTTATAATGGTCTGAGTCAGACATTAGCCTATTCAATTCCCACTCTAACTCTCAAGTCTCACCTATCTGATATCACATAGAAGACCCGAGTTAGACGTAACTCAATGGAGGATCTTCTGCTTCATCGCTCTGCAAACCAGGCTCCTCTATCGCCTGTGAATTTCCTCGAGCGAGCTGCTAATGTTTATGGAGATAAGGTTTCCATCGTTTATGGCACCGTTAGCTTCTCCTGGAGAGAAACTCATGAAAGATGTCTCAGACTTGCTTCTGCTTTGTCCCAGCTGAGGATTTCTCGCGGTGATATTGTAAGTTTAGCTTCTTCTTCTTTTTTTATTGTTAATTAATTACCATCATTTATTTATTTTTTTTCAAAACAGGCGAAAATCTAGAGAAATTAAGAAAAAAGAGTTTGCATGTTGTATAAATCAAATCTCACCTCGCAAGAATTAAGAATATAAATGAACTAAACAAAAGTGAACTTTACTATATCCATAATCAGTTTGTTAAATTAACGAATTTTGAAATATTGTTTGTGATCATTTGTTAAATTTAATAATTGAATATAAACGAACAAAAATTGAATTTGTTTATAAACTATTTATCAAATATTCCATTCCTTTACACTTTGATATGTAAATGAACTAAAGATAAATAAATTTATTTATATTCTAGATCTATTCATCTAGTTAATGAATTTTAAAATATTGTTTGTGATTGTTTGTTAGGCTTAATAAATGAATATAAATAAATGAAAATCTATCATGTTCACAAATTATTTATTAAACATTTAATCACGAGTTTTCTCCTTTGAAATAATAGCTGTTATCAAGTATTGGCCGAAAAAAAAAAAATGTTATCAAGTCATTTTGATTTCTGGTGGCTTAATTTTAGCTTTAAGCAATATTACACTTGACAATATGCATGGAGCTAAGGGAGTATCTATAAAGCTTAACAATGTCAATGTGCCTAAATGAGAGAAAAGAGGTGTATTATATTGCTATATATGTAACGAATATAATGAAACAGGCTTATTCAACATGATATATTTCTTCACTAGTGACAAGATTTAGATGGTTTAAAGGTCAGTCCTTGATCGGTTTTTAAGAAGAAGAAGACAAGAGAAAAAAACATTTATTTTACCGACCAAAGAAAAGTAGGAAAATTAAAGAAATGATAAACTCTTCCATTTAAATTGACTCTAACCAAAAAGAAAGGAACATTAAAGAATATACTAGTTCAGTTTCTAGTTTAGTTAGGAAGAATTTGGCATGATGGACTGAAAAATGTCTGGAGGAAGATTGATGATGGCTTCAATGACTGGATGATACAACATTCATAGGTTTAGCTAAGGAATTCCGTATCATAAATTAATTAGGTAATCAAGTAAATTTTCTGTCTCCTTATTTAAAATTATACATAGAAGCAATATTATAGTCAAATTTGTTCTCTTAAATAGAAGTAATATATTATATTTGTCAAGGTCAACTTCCCAAGCTATGAATCATTCATGCACGAAGGTAATGCAAGAAAAAAACGACAATCCCATTAAACTTATTTATTTATTGGTCTTCGTCCTTTTTTAATTTCTAGAAGTAGGATGAGCTAGGTTTTTAATATACAATTAAGAACTAATACATGTCTTGATTTTAATAAATAAATATATTAATAATTAACTAAAAATTTATATTTGATGCATTATAGTAATAAATTATATATATATATATTATGAATGAATGATATGATATGATATTATTTCATTAATTAATATAAAAAATATTGTTAAAACTATTAAAAAAATTATTGTAACAAAAAAAAAAAAAAACGAACAACACGTTAGTGGTCCCCCGTGAACCTAGCTAGTCTTTTTTTATTTAATTTTTTTCAGTCAAAATGCAAAGTCAAGCTGAAATATGCAAGTCTTTCCAGGAATATGATATTTATTAATGAAAGTCTTCCAGTATTAACTCAAATTAAGTTAATAATCAAACTTTAAATTCATTCATTGAATAAAAAAATGCGACTTAAGGCTTTTAAAAATCATAATCGGCATAATTTACTTGTATCAACTGGTCCGATTATAGGGTTTCATGTGATTTTGAAAGCGAAGCCGCGAAGGTCATTATTGTACATGAAAGTGAGATATTTCACACTGGGGCCCCTTCATTTTGTTCTCGATTGATGATTGGTTAGAACAACTCACTAGTTAGGGCTGGCATGTTTTTTATAGCCTTGTTTTAGGACGGAGTTGGTTGGATCGTTTAATAATCCAGCCAACCATTGACTATAGGTTAGTTAAATGATTGGGAAAGGTTAAAAAAAAAAACCAACGTTTGTCACGTTAAGTCGTCCCTTGTTTCCAGGAAGATTCATGTGTGCAATCTGTAAATTAAGAAAGAAAACAAAATAATAACCTGCCATGAAAGACAAATCGTGGCTGCTCATCAGCTCTTGAGAAACCCAAAAATAATGCAGAAAAAGGAAACAGGGCGGTGGGTATGGTTGAGGGAAAAAGATATCACATCTTTAATAATCAATGATTGAATTGTGATAAATATTATTAATATATAAATTTTATACACCGTTAATAAATAAGATGATGTCATCATATTAATGAATGAATATCGATTCTTTTAAAAAATTTATTTATTAAAGGGTGTTATCATTTTATTTATCTTATTAATGAGATAATATCATTCAATTTATTGATAATATGTAAAATTTATATATTGATAAAATATCGAATATAAATTCTTTAAAGTAAGGGCTTACCCTTCCCTTACCAAGACAAAGTATTCTTAGTTACTATATTTTTCTTTGAAACATTGTATTTGTTATGATAGCAATAATCACATTGACACTGAATATATTGAATTTGTCGTTGAGCTAACATTTTTGACATGATAATCACCATTGTTACTCAAATGATTAGGTTGCAGCTATGGCGCCAAATATTCCAGCATTATATGAGCTGCATTTTGCGGTTCCAATGGCTGGTGCGGTTCTCTCTGCACTTAACATTAGGTTGGATGCAGCTTCTTTAGCAGTAATACTAGAAAAACTGGATGCCAAATTTATTTTCCTCGATTATCAATATATTGACGTTGTGCAAAAAGCGCTTGAAATACTATCACAAAAGAAGGCCAAGCAACCTTTGCTAGTGTTAATCGAAGAATATGATCATGGAGCGACAACTCTAGTGGCAAATGAGTTGGCCTCTGGTAGTATAAAGTATAATGATCTTCTTGGAATGGGAGGGACTGATTTTGAAATAGTAAAACCAAAGAATGAAGGTGATCCAATTTCAGTGAATTTTACTTCCGGTTCGACTGGAGAACCTAAAGGAGTATTGTACAGCCATAGAGCTGCCTGTCTCAATTCATTAGCATCAATTATGCGGTATGACATGACGATTGCACCAGTTTTTTTATGGACATTGGACATGTTTAGGTGCAATGGATGGTGTTGTACTTGGGTCATGGCTGCTCTTGGCGGCACCAGCATCTGCCTAAGAAATGTCTCAGCAAAAGTCATATTCGATTCCATTTTTCTTCACAGTGTAACTCACTTGTGCGGTGCACCTGCCATTTTGAACATGATTGCGGATGCACCAGCCAGTGAACAAACGCCACTTTCCTGTAAGGTTCATGTTATCATTGCCGGTGTATTGTCAGTTTCCCAAGCGCTCAAGGTTGAAGGATTAGGATTTACTGTTAGCTATGCGTATGGAATGACAGAGGTCCTTGGCCCTGCAATTGTTAGGCCATGGAGACCTGAATGGAATTCTTGTGATCTATCCAATGAACATAAAAAGTATAAGTTTCGGGAAGGACTTGATAACCTTGTGATTGAACAGGTTGATGTAAAAGAACCGGATACGATGAAAAGCGTACCACGTGATGGAAAAACAATTGGAGAGGTAATGTTCAGAGGTAACACATTGATGTCAGGGTACCTTAAAAATCCAAAAGCAACTCAAGAAGCATTCAAGGATGGATGGTATAGGACCAGGGACCTTGGGCTTATCCATCCAAATTGTGTCATACAACTGAAGGACCGGGCCAAGGATATTATAGTTTCAGGGGGAGAGATTATAAGCACATTGGAGGTGGAAGCAGTGTTGACAAGCCACCCCAAGGTCTTGGAGGCCGCAGTTGTTGGAAAGCATGATGATTTTTTGAAAGAGAAGCCTTGTGCTTTTGTGAAATTGAAGGAGGGGTATGGCGCAAGTTCTGAAGAGATTGTGAAATTTTGTGAGGAACAATTGCCAGAGTTTATGGTTCCTCGAACTGTAGTTTTTGGGGAATTACCAGTCAATTCCACGGGCAAGGTGCAAAAATTTACTCTCAGGGAGAAGGCTAATGCCATTCATAGCATCATCAGTCTCAAAACTGGGTGCCAGAGATCGTAAAAGGTTTTTGTTTGATAAATACCTGCTCAAATCACAGTTTTAGCCATATTTCATATTGCCTTGCATCTTTTGCTTGAACATTACTATATCTAAACTTTTAAACAAACAATTTTCTTGTCAATTTCGTTTGTATGTGTCTTTGTGATATCAACTAATTAAGTTCCTGCATGCATGCCAGCAAACAGATAATAATAGCAGGCGTACACAGATTTATAATATTTTCCTTTTGTTTTTTCTTTTTGTCTTTGAATATTTGCTGAAAGGAAATTCAGACATTTTGATTGTGCGATGCAAATATACCTCAGAATTAAGCAATGTTTCAGGTCTCAAGTCTTAACCATTGTCACTGAACTTACTAGGTCAACTACCAACATACCATCAGCCAAACATATCCATATTTTAAAAAGATTTATATACGATGCATTGTTAATATATTAATTTTATATACAATCAATATATCATGTATTGTTACTTCATTAATTTAAATTTTAAAATTTAGAAGTGTTTAAAGTAAATGCTAAAAATTATTTAATTGAAAAAAGTCTATTGAATTTTCTTTTTCAATTTTATCTTTTAATGACTCTTAATATTTTCAATTTATAAATTAATGAGGTGGATGCATTGAGAGTGTATAAGATTTGTATACTAACAATTCATCAAATATGAATAAATATATATTGCAAAAATTCTTTTTAAATTAAGGTGAAATTAAATCTCAAATTTTCTCTCATAAATTAGAAGGAAAAAAAAGTTTTCTTTTGCATATCAATTAAAAAGTCAATTAATTTTATAAATAAAATATTACAGTTAAACCAACAAATTATTTTTACAGCACGTGAGATAAATGTGCTAAAACCAGTAGTACTTGTAAGCTTAAAATTCTTCATCCATGAAAAAAAAAATTCTTCAATAAATTATATGTACTTATAGTAAAGAATGCACTTTCCAAAAGAAAACCCATTGAAAAATTTTTTAAAAAATGTATTTATTATATCAAAATATAAGGAATTTAAGTTATGTTACTTTTTAACACATGAATGAAATACACTCACGATATTGATCTGTTAAAAAATTATCTCCATATTTGTTTTTATTGATGAAAATTATCTAACTCTTTTACCATTTTCATTTTTAACTATATATATTTTCGTATTATTATTAATTATTGAGTAATAACATTTCTTTTTGAAATATTATGAGTTATATGTTTTCTTCAGTAAGTTTACCCCATTAACATATTATATTCATTAATTATTTTAAAACTCAACTCTTATTCCTCTCGCCATGTAACTTTTTTTTTATTATTATTTTATGAACACTTTTTTGGAGGTCAACTAAACCTACAGTATGATTTATTTCTTTAACAATATATAAAAGGAGGGTTTTGGATAGAGTTGATAACGGATCGGATTGAGGCGGGTTTTTGCTCGCCCCAAATCTGACTTGATTCAAATTTTTTTATTTATTTCATACTTAAATCTGATTCGATCTAATATTATATAAATCGTACTCGATCCAACCCAAAATTAATCAAATATTATTTTTTAAATATAAATATTTAAATATATAATTATATAAAAAAAATAATTTTTCATATAATACCGGGTTGGATCAGGTCGAATTTGCCTAAAATCAAAACCTGACTTGACCCTAATTTTTCTTTTAGTTATATCCGACTCGACTCGATCTGAAATTTGATTTTTTTTTAAAAAAAATCGACCCTATAAAATCGAATTGAATCAAAACCCGTTGAAAATAGGTTGAATTACCAACACTAACCAAAGCACTTACGTATTTCTCTTTTAATTATAGTTAGATGTAAATCTTAAATTTGCACCAAGAAAAATTTCTAATGGAGTTGATGTATATCCCAATTCAATTTTTCGAAACCATTTCCAAACAATGAATTCTTTGGATTTTAGATCATTCCTACGTTAAAGTACTCAAGTTTATTTGTATATATATAATTCTATACTTGCTAATAAAACACAACTCTTTTCTAATAATAATAATAATTCACGGCTTATAATTTTATTAGCAATCTGTTTGGTAGGAAGGGAAGATAGAAGAAAAAAATTAATCTAATAATTGAGTTAAAAAGTAATATCTTGTTGTTATAAATCTCAATCATTATATTATTAACTGAAAAAAAGAAATGCTCGATCCTCCCGTTTATTGGAGTACTCAATGATCAAATTTTGGAGTTATGTATGTGTATATGGAGTCATCTCTTTTAGTTCGATATTTAATTTGTATATAGAATTGAATTTTAGGATTTTAGGATTTTGTTTTATTTTATTAATTTAGTTTAGGATTATTTATTTTGTTAATTTATAAATTTATAGTATTTAAAAAAAAAAGAAAAGAATTTTTATGAGATTGAAAATGGTTTGGAAAGAGGTTGAAATTTTAATTTGGATGATTGAATTATAAATATTGTGTTATATTGAGGCTTATTTGGAGAAAAAAAAATGAGAGGTAGACTTAGATTAGAAATCCAAGATTGAATTCTGAGTGGGAGAGGTGATTAAGAAATTTAGTTCTAATGTGATTAGGATTAAAGACCTATTTAAAGAACTCTTAAGCAATTAGGAAGAAAAATTAGAAAAAAAAAAAAAAAGGAGAGGAAAGGAAATTCATGAGAGTGTTAGGCGAAAAATGAAAAGAAAAAGGATTTTGAGGAAAAGTGTTATGAGAAGGATTTGATTCGGCTTTGGAGTTTTGATTTGATTTAAAAAGTTGTTTAAGGAGTTTAGCATTGAAAAAGAGATGAAAATTGAAAACTAATTTTTATCTTTTGAAAAAATCAGGGTTTTATTTTTCAATTTTTGGCAAAAAAAATTAAGTTTTCTATTCAAGCTTCCAGCCAGATCTTAAAGTTTCCGACGATATTTGCATAAATCCACTCGCATTCAAACAGTTTTAGAGAGAAATTAGAGATTTTGGGGCTTAGAGAGAGAAAAAAGAGGAGAAAAGTGAAATGAAAGAAAAATTGTTGGCTGTTATACTCACGTAAAATGCATTGATTCAATAAACCCAAAGGATCTAAGTGTTTTACCAATTCCTGACTTGACCCAATCGCAATTTGCCCGTTAACCAGTGTTCATTTTATTGTAAAACGAGTCGCCTGTCAAGCCAAGTTAAGTCATTGAGCCGATTCTTTGTATCTAAAACAAGCCAAGTCAAGTGGCAAGCTGAGCCAAACTGATTTTTTTATAATTTTTATTTATTTTATTTTATTTTATATTTAAATTAATTTATATAAAAAATATTTTTTAATCCTTTTAAAATATTAGAAAATTTAAATCTCAAACTAAATCCTAGTAAATTATTGGAGAGTTTAATTATTTTTTAGAAAAAAAAATTTTTAATATTTTTTTAATTCAGTCAAACTATTAAATAATTTAAATATCAAATTGAACCTTACCAAACTATTAAAGGGTTTAATTTTTTTATAAAAAAAGTAAATTTATAAACATTTTTTAATCGTACAAAACTATTAAAAAATTTAAATCTCGAATTAAATCTTATCAAACTATTGATAAATTTAATAATGTTTTAAATAAATTCATATAAAGTTTTGATTATTAATCTTATCAAACTATTGAAAGGATTTAAATCTTGTAATTAAATTTTATCAAACTATTAGAAGGTTTAACTATATTCTTAAAGAAAGTTAAGTTTATAATTTTTCAATCCTACCAAACTATTGAATGGTTTAAATCTCAAAATAAAATATTACTAAACTATTGAAAGATTTTATTGATTTTTAAGCAATAAATTATTTAGTAAATTAAGGCTTTGGATAATACAAAATCAACTGGTACTATCCTTTAGTGGGTATTATAGGGGTGCTATAACTTTTTCTGCATATAACTGTACTCCAAACCCAATTATAGTTTCGTAGACTAGAATTTACTATTTTAAAGATACCCGAATCAAACTTAAGACTTCTTTCTAAAAGAGAATAGATTCAATTTGATAGCCAATCACACCTTAACAAAAAGATTGGTAGTGACTTTTAAAGTTGTGTCTAGCGATGGTTCATAAATCTATACATTATGACAATTTGGCAACTCCACTGAGGACTTAGAGAGTTAGGCCAATAATTGATTTGTGTTGTCTAAGCCTAATAATTTTTTTTGTTTAAAAAAACTATTTTAAATATTTTGTTTTATTTCAAGCATTAACTATCTTGTCATTCATATGCATATACATAGCATGAGTTTTATATCCAAGTTCTGTTCCTTAGGATAGAGTAAAGTACCTATGTTTTTGTGAGATTTTGAGTCTTCGTATGAGCTAGCGAAATACTCCCACTCAAATTAAACATTTTTTGCTTGTAGCCTATAATGGATGAGGATTTAAGTGCCTTACTAATCTGTCATGGACAATGATATGAGAAATAATTTGGGAACCTTTAAATTTAACCTAAACTATATATAGTCAACTTTAAGAACCTAACCTATAGATAAAGCCATGTCATCCCTTCGTGTAAAATTAACCTAAAATTTAGGAATCATGTCTTTATTTATGTGTTATACTCTAACATATTTCTTTATCTTTTTCTACCTACTAACTAACTTTTAGTATTTTTTTTCCTTTGTTTGCATAATTCATATCACCATTCATATATTTACATAAAGAATATTTGCCATGAAGATAGTTTCAACAAAGAGTTTTCGTGGAATCTATGAAATATTTAGTTTTTTCCTCGTCTGCTTACATTAAGTGTGAGATGCCTAATGAAGTGATGAATTAAGTTAGAGAGAACTCAACAGAAGGAAGGGGATTGTCTATCAAGGGTTATATTTCCACTTTACTTAAAGAAATATACCTTCACCTCAAGCAAAATAATATAGAAAAGTTGACAGATATATAGAAGCATACGAGTTCATCAAGACAACAAGATTTTTACCAAAAGTATGGCCATATTGCATATTTTCTTTTAGTGATGGTTGAAAATTCACTAATTAAGGAGGCTATACAATTTTAAGATCCCTA